AACAGGCACTGGCTTGAATTGGATTAGGCATTTGCCCTCTGTGTATCGAGGAATTCGGAAAACGGTGTCAGCAGTCCACAGCCCACAAAGCTGCCCGACTTGATTGATGGGAGTGGAGCAAGCTGTTAGCGCTCAGACTGCCCCCATCCTCGCTTTCCTTTCCCTCACGGACACCTGGCGATTGTTTACTTTGTTGTAGGGGACCTGATCAGGGGACATCTCCATGGGCACCTTGCTGTGTTTTTATCGCGATGACACCACGTGGAACTGGAGGCGCTGATTTGTGGGGCTAGACGAAGTTGACTTTCTCCAAGGCTTATGTGACACACGCACCCACGTCACTTATACCATGTGAATATGCAACACACCCCTGTATCCCCCCCGCCCCCCATCCCACGCCTTCCGCCGCTTTTTACCCCAGGGACGACAAAGTGGGTTCTGCGCAGCTGCGCTGTTGCTGGCGGCCTGCCGGCTGCTGGGTCTGCTGCTGGTGCGCCTCCACTCCCCTTCCCACCTCCCCTGTTGCTAGTTGTTTGGGGAGTTCTTCATGCTTGTAAAGTGTTGGCTTACATGTGCTTTATGGTTGGCTGAGGTCCCACACTGTACTCCCCTAATGGAGCAGAGTTTGGGAGCGGCTTTTTTCCCTCAACCCTCTCCTCTTGTTTTTTCCTGTTTCTTGTACCCACCTTCAAGCAATTTCCCCCACAGGGATTATTAAGTATTTCCGATTTCTGATTCTGATTCTGATATATCTTTGGGGACAGTGAGTCTCTGAGGTTTTGGGGCAAGTACAAGAATTTGTTTTTTTTTTCTGGAGTTTAAACATCAGGAAAATTGCTGCTCATCCAGGATTTTATGTCCTTAAGACATGTTTGTAATTTAAATAATTGGATAATTTTATCGGGCTTAATTGATAGATATAACTGTGTATCATCTGCATTTAGCAATGAAAGTTAATGGAGATGATTCCTAATAATGTGTGCCTAAGGGAAGACCAGTATATAAAAGTGAATAGTATTGGTCCATTGTCGGAAGCAATGGAAAAGGTCATTACTACTTTAACCAGAGGCTGTGTCTGTGCTGTTGATGGAACTCTATATCTTTTTACTGGAAAATCCTCAAATAAATTATTGTTATTGTAGAAAGTCAACACACTGGTGACTACTTTTCTCAGAATCTTAGAGAGAAGGGGAGGTTTAGAAATTGGTCAAATTGGTTTGCTAAAACCTGTTAGGGTCAAGAGTGGCTTTTAAGAAGAGGTTTAATTACAGGTTTACTTTAAAGGACTTGGGCTACATATCCTGATAATAAAGAAGATTTGATCAATATCCAGTAAAGAAGTGCCAATATAAGGGTACAACTTCCTTTCTTCGATGAAGAAATTTATTTGGAAGTAATAACTGATGAAGATTGATAGCAGAAAAACATTCAATATATCTGGGATTTTATATTAGTTTAAAGTTCCTAAACTTTGGAGAGACAGTGGATAGCTGTTTGGGAGGGCATTTGGTGATTTGATTCCTCTCTAATATTATTAAAACTTTATTTATAAAAGAGGCTTTCATAAAAGTCGTTGCTACTTAAGGGTTAATGGCTGATATGTGGATCAATAGACTGTGACTTCTCTGTTTAGCCTTGGCTACAGTGCTGAAGAGGAACCTGGGTTGTAAATGTCAACGTCCAAGTAAAATTTAAGTGAAGTTAAACATTTTTTATTAATTAATGGTTTTTTAATTATGCCAGATTTTAGCAGATACTGCAGCACCCTCATCACCCCTGGCTTCTATCACCCATGAGACTAGGGGGATTTGCAGCAGGCATCTACGCTAAACTCAATGGGAGAGTCAATGTTATTTTTTCGACAAAAGATTAAATTCATATTTGAATTCAATATTTAATTTTCTTACAAGGGTGGGCACTTTAAAGTCAGTGACGTCTCTGTAGCATGTGTGTTCAATCACACGGTCTGGTTGCGTGACTTTGGGCGGTTCTTGAATATTGACTTGGGAATAACTGTGGGTACAGGTACTGAGCTTTGCAGACAGGTGCCGGTTTTGCAAACTGAACCTGAGGACTCAGTTTCAAGTATATTTTATCTTTATATTGTTTACCTATATTTTTGTACTTAGCAGCTCTTTGTCACTGCTTTACTAGTCCCTGCAAAAAAATGACGACCACTGATTTAATTACATTTCACCTGAGCAGGTTCATCTAGAGTCTGTCCGAATCAGACGGCTATCAGCACGTTTTGCCTCCCGAGGAAGAAAAAAATCTTCAAACAATAAATTCTCGTGGAGGAGAAAAAGCAAGGACATCCAGCAAGGCTAAATCCTGCCTGCATTTACCATATCAATTAAATCTGGGCCGCTCGAGATGGGCACAGGCTTTAAAGGAATCTGGTGATTTGCTTTACAGTCGATGAATATTCCTAAAAGCGCTGATCAGCCTCTGAGAAAGGGGAGAAAAGAAAAAAAAGAAAGATTTGGAGTTTGGGTGGAGCTTGAGCTGACCTTGAGATAATGGCAACTGTGGTGACCTTTGGCTGACTGGCACATCAGGAGAGTGGTTGTTGGCCCACGGGTAGATGAGGCCAGATCGCAGCATCCAGTGCTGGAAGGTGTCTTTCTGCTGAGATGTGTGACCAATCCGTGGAGGTGATCACCACACATGCAAATGGAAACAGAGAACAATTCAACGTTGGGAAAAATTTATCCTTTAAATTCAAGGTATTAAATTATAACAGGTTAAGGAATTATGGATCAATACAAGAAATGTTCTCACAAAACATCTTGATTTAGAGATTTTACAAAACCCAATAGTCAGTTTTTATGGATGAGAAGGCTGATTCTCCGTAGTTTTTGGTTTTTTAGGAATTAGACCATCTTGCGTGGATCACATTTTCCACACTTAAATATACAGCCAGCATGTGTGATGTAAAGCCTTTCGTCCTTCTTTTTTTTCCCTCCACTCTGTCTTGTCCATTTCCAGTTGATGAAACCTTCCCCTCAGTGGACACCCTCTTCTAGTTGCTGAAGGAGAACAAAAAGCATGTTCATTCACTGATCTTCCCATACACACAGCGGAGCGCTGTCCCTTGCCATCGTCACGTTATAAATTCCAGCTTCTGCCTTTAACTGGGTCATTTTCCAAGCACCACGGAGAACAGAGCACAGAAATAAAGGGGAGGAAAACAAGACAAGATTTTTTTTGTTTTGTTTTTTAAGCTTCTTTTTTGTTTTTTAGATCGCTGTGAGACAGATAATATTTCTTCTCCTCTCTGGCCTGCATGTTTTGGAGGGATAGGGGAGCTTAATTAACGATCCTCTAACTCCCTCTCTGTCATCTGTAATATTATTTAAAAGCAGGCCATTCTGATTCCTGTGACTTTTTTTGCACTGTGGAAAAGCTTGTGTGAGATGGTTTTCTGTTTTTTTTGTGTCTGAGGCTTGCAATATTGGAAAGAGGAACAAAAGAAATTCAGACTTCGGGCAGAAGCACTCTTCTGGAACTCTTGTAAGGGAAGATCCAGTTGGATTCAAAATTGTGACTTTGTTAAGGTTACCTTTAAAGCTTTCAATAGCGTTAATTTTAAATTAAAAAAATGTTGTCATAATTTTGACTGTTCTGACAGTAGAACATGAGATTAATATCAGAGACGAGAAAGATAGAAAAAACGCTTTTTGGGTTGGAGCGTTGAAGGTTAGTTCATTGAGTACCATTCCAAGGGTCCCAAAGTGTCTATTGGTCAACTAACCAACCAACTATCTTTCTTTTCTTTGAGGGTATTTTTGTTCAGGCATGGGTGGATTCTTGCAAATTGCATTTAGGAGCTTTTTCAACTTGGCGGGGGTGCACAAGTGGAAGCACCTGGATTTATACGGGGTGTGGCATGAAATATGTGTCTTAACCTTTTTCGTAATTTCCAATTATATTACAGTTCCAACACTGTATCTACTATTCAAATACACTAGATGATAAATATACACATTCATACCACATGAAAATAACTGATGTTTTTTGCCCAAAAACTGGCATTGAATGAGGATAAAGTAGGCATGTCTGCAAAGGGGCAGACCTTGTGGATACCTATTAAGAGGCTATTTTCATTGCACATACTCTGAGGTTCAGAGGTACAAGGGATCCATTTTCTATCACCAAAATTTAACCTATCCTTGGGAAGCATTATTAACTTCCTTCCCTGGCATGCTATGACGGAGGTTGGTACCAATTTAATTGCGTTAGGTCATCTAGTTTCATATGATACCTCACTTCTAGCTTTAATACAGCCTTTGAAAGACAGTGAAGAGTGGAAGACGTACAGGATAAATGGGTGGAACTTCGGGGGTGGCCAATTTAGTTTCAGGGTTTTTTGGACAGTGCCTCTGAAACTGGCCCTCATATTAGGAGAAACTGTTGGTGGAA